GATGGTCGCAGTACATTTCAATGTGCTTACGTCTGTGGTCTATCTGTTATTTTAACCCCAAAGAAGCCATGACATATTCTAGGACTGGGCCAGAGATCATCATTATCAGCATGCTACAAAACAAAATCTTCTTTTGACTTTCATAGATTATCTTTCGATGCAAGAACCCCGTTATTTAGAGAGAGTTAAAAAAGATACCTGTGTAGATCAAATCTGTTTCATCTAAACTTTGTTTTTACTCAACCAAACTATAAAACACTGAGATACACACCATACAACCTCAAAGCCTCCAAATATAATACATAGAACAAGCATGGCCTCGAGCAGAGAGGAAACCAGTGACTAACTTATCAGGGCTTATCATAACATAAAACTTTCAGTGAGATTTTTGTAAACATTCAAGTTCCGGCTTGTCACTCATCTTTGACTGGATTTACGCTGCTGGTTCAAGTTTTCATTTTATGAGATGTATTTTTCAGATATGTTTTTTTATGCAGCCAAGTCCATACTGTCCATATGTTTTCGGCCTTCCTCTTCAATGAAACCATAATGGGGGTAGAATGCCAAAAAGCAACAATCACAGCATGGGTGGGGAACTTGTGACTTTTTTTCACCATGCAAAAATCAAACCTGAGGAACTGTGAAAACATTTCACCGGCAAAGGCTCATAATATAAAATAACAGACATTTGTTTGAGCCATCCATTTTCTGTCGAGCTTGTCCCCAAAGTAGCATGTGAGCTTCAGCCGATCCCAGCTGACTTTGGGCGAGAGGCTGGGTACCCTCTGGACCGACAACGGGCCAATCACAGAGCAGAGAAATAAAAGAAAACTAACAGTCACAACTTTGGGCTATTTAGGGTATTCTGTTCAGCTAACATGCAAATCTTTGGAATGTGAGAGAAGTCAGAGTACCTGGAGAAATCGCCTACAGCCAAAGGGGAGAGCATGCAAACTCCACACAGGAAGGCAGCTGAGATCGAAACCCAGAATCTCAGCTGCCTGTGAGGCAGATCCAGAGGCTGCCGCATTTGTTTGGTTATTGAATAGTCATATACCTTTTTCACACATATCTTAGTATGGCAATCAAAGTAAATGAAAAAGTTCTCTGCTTCTGTCCTGTACTGTAGATATACCATCAGGGTAATGTCTATAGACAAAATCTCAGATCAATACCTGCTACAAAGGTGCAATCTCTGCCATAGAAAGTGTAATACTACTTAAAACTGCAGACTCTTAAGTGTACAAAAGCATTTTTTTGAACTGCCAATTATATACAGTAGATCACCCGTTTTCATAACTTCACTCAATGGGGGAGAAAAGAATTTCTCTGTGCACAAAACACTTGCTTTTTTTTAATTAACTGAGAGTGCAAGGGTGAAAAAAAAAATCGTGTTACAAGACGCATGTCATTGTTTAACAGCTGGCAAGTGTTGGCTCCTACTTTCATGCTCCCAAAACAATGCATTCCATCAGCTGTGACAACAAGCCCAACCAGAAGTGCTAAAAATGACTAAATAAACATTATCAGTAATTGTTCTGATAGATTAGACAGACAATTGTATTAGACCCAAAACTGATTATGTTTTTTAGGCTGCGCCCTTCAAAGGACGAATTTAAAAACCAAGTGATGTACCATCGGTGCGCCCCGATCTTACGCTGGTGTCCAAATACAAGCGGCCTTCGAATTTAGCCTTCGTTTCCCTGGAGACGGCCCTTAGCGAAAGCGGCTTAGGAGCACATTTTCGTGGCGTACATGCCAACTCCCTTCTTCTATGCGTTTCGTCTTCTACACTTCGTCAGTTTTAACAACCAGGCATATTGCCACTATCTTGCGCCGGTACAGAACAGACAAGTGAGACAAGTGAGAATCGCTAGGCCTGTCCAAATTCACCACTATTTTTGTGGTCCACGGAGGCTTCATGAGGAAGAGACTTCGAAGGCCCCAGCCTGCGAAGGGCCCTTTGGAGGACGCAGATTATGAATTTGTACCCGGCAACTGTATTTGCATCGAAAGATAAAAAAACAACGGCATAATGCATAGCAAAAATCAGCAAGGGGTGATCCAGAAACAGCAAACAAGATGCTCACTGGCCTGTTATTCCACATTTTTCCGAACAATTTACTTACGCAAGTTCTGTCCAGCCCCCATGAATGCAAGAATGGACGGGCACGCGTACATGTGCAGTGAACATTTCCGAGAGTGATTTACAGTTAGAGAGGAGACATGCCATGCAGGTGACATTAAAAACAAATGCTGTGCCGAGTATTGTTCAATGAGCAAGAAGTGTGACGTGATCTAAACGGTCTCAGGGAAGATCGCAATTCCCAGCAGGCGTAGGCAGCGGTGTTTTGGGCATTATGTTCATCATGACAGCGAAGTCCGCGCTCGTAAATTAAGCTCCTCAGACACTGGACCAAAGCAGCACTCTCTTCATCATAAATTAAGGAGTACATACTGTATTAACTGCAGGATTGTCCATGCGTGTGGATCTGTCAAATGAGCACCACGTCTGTTCCACTTCCTGGTCCACCCCATTCTCCAAAGTGTATTTTGTGCCGAAACACTAGTGATGGGTCCAGCAACACCGATGCGTCGACGCATGCGTCGAGCTCACAGAGCAATCCACGTGTCGGTGCATGTGCTGCTTCATGACGATCACGTGACCAACACATGAACTGCGTCGACACAGTCCAGGCTGCGTCGACGCAGCAAAAGCCCGCCAAACTGTGTTTATAAGGAAGTGCGTCGAGCGACGCGATGCCGCCTGCCAAACAAGCCAGACCTCACCCTCGTTTGAATAAAAATATATATTTGGGCAAAAAGGAAAACACACAGAATATCAGAGAAACGTGTCCATATGACTTCGAGCGGCGTGTCGGCTAGGCTAGCTTAGCTGTTGTCGTAGTTCAAAGCTTCTTTGATATGTGACGTGGGTTGCGTCGGCGCCGTGAGTACGTGCTCGCGCTCATGCGCGCACAGCAGAGAGCAGCGGATTATCGACTGCTGAGGCGCGCTTCACTCGAGTGACGTTGCTACAGTGCGTGCATATTATGGAGCAGCTCCCGGAGAAACGCAAATTGTCTGCCGTGTAGAGCCATTTTGATCTCCTTTTGGAGAATAAGGTATTTATTCAAATCTAAATCTCCTTGTCTCACCAAGTGCCTCTCGGATCTTTGACATGTCTTATTCCATTCTAATTCAAATTAATTTAATGGTAACTCTTAGTTTACTATTCACATATTTTATTGCAGGTGAAATGTCGAATTTGCCATACAGAAATATCATATTGACAACAAAAGCACCTCTGCAACTACATCTGGCATGTTACTCATCATTCTAAGTTTGTTTTTTTAAACTGTTCTCAATGCCAAATTTGTTTGGTTTGTTTGGGTTTTTTTTAGAAGACCTGTGGCAACATTTGGATGATGAGATAGGGAGACTGGGAAGAAGTGCAACAGCAGATGCTATACCTGAGGTCCAGCCATACCCGGCAAAAGGGGAAAATTGCACGCAGTCAAGACCCGCTGTTATAATCGAAGGACCAACACACTACTTTTCCAAACCTCTCCCACCTCCCAAAGCAGTTTCTCTGCACGCCGGCATCACCAGTGCCATGCGAGCAGGGGAAATAGCATGCAAGAAACGCAACAGACTGAAATTCAAAACACTGGAGCAACTTATTTTTCTGAATAAAAAATTGTGAAGACAAAGCCCACAAGCATCCTCATTTACATAATTTTCACCTTATTCAAACACATTGAATAATACAATATGAATGCATAGATGTGAATGATATTGTATGCACTTCCTCATCAAATCAGTCAGTTCAGTCTGTCAAGTGGGTTGCCTGAGCGATTTTGAAAGTCCAGCAGGTGTCAGTGGTCAGCGACACAGTATCAACACAGTGTGTCATTGTGTCAACACGGATCATGAGGCCTCATGGACCCATCACTACGAAACACCATCCGGCATTGCATCTTTCACATAAAAAGTCGAATCTCATTGGGTGGACTTATTTCATAGTATTGGCTGATAATTATACGGCTCCATTCTTTCAGGACTAATACTGCAGTACTGTACACGGTAGATGTGGAGTAGCTGTGTGTATTGATCAATGTGCAGTCAAGTCCAATATTTATACACATGTGACCGTTCGTTACCAAGTGATGAGTTTAATGAACATGGTGGCCAGCTATGTTATTTTTTAAATTGTAAAGTTATGAAATCTACATGAAAAATATTGAAGTTATCAAAATAATTCGAGACAAAATATTCACTTTACTTACTGCTGCAAATGACATACTGATGTCAAGTATCCAATGTTAAATACGTGCACAAGGTTCACGAAAAGTGCGATGTCGTGCCTAACGGTTCACGAGGCGCCAAAGCACTGCTCTTTTCATCAACAGGTAAAGTGAGCGTCACATATGAACGGGACAGGTAATCAACTTCGGCTTCAAGAGCTTGGACTCGTCGCTTGAGCTGTGTAAATAAGTGTGCAATAAACAGTGAGTGTGAGGTGACTATTCAACGTGAAGAGCGCGCACACCAACACTCACTCTCACTCACACACGAACCGCTGTCATGTTCGTGCCCCGTCTGACAGTCTTGACAGTCAGTCGGCGAGACAAATCGCTCGCTCGCCGACATCTGCAAGCCTGCTTCTTGCAAAAGGCACATTAGAACGGCAGTGATGGGAGCTTCCAACGTGCTGTTTAAACGTGAAACATTGATGCCCGCCCATTCAGCAGCCGCTCAATTGGGAAAGGGGTGGGGGGCGAAAGGGTCTGTCCAGTTCAGCCAAACCCGCGAGTCTCCATATCAACATAAACACGCTTGCGCGTGCACCCAAAAGTTGCCTGACTGTTTGGGCCGTCAACGTCATATCGGATTCAATCTCAGCACACGGACGCTTAAGCCGGCAGAGACACGAGTGACTTGACAAGTGAACACTCAGCAAGCGCTGAAAACGATCCCGATTTCAGGCTGCGCCTTACCTTCAGTTCCGCACTCTCCGCCATCTTGTATTTCTCTGCGCAGGCGTGGTTAGGAAGCCCGGCCACGGGGACGCGCACGGCGCTTCGCGAACGCGCACCCAGCCACTACGTTTTGCTCACCAACTCAACGCGATAATCGACAAAAAGAGCAGGTGTAAAGTTTTATTTCCAAATACATTTTAGTCGAAGTCATTATATATTCAGTTCATTGTGATTGCGGTGTTATTAATCTTCTTTTTTCAATCCACGAGTCTATTGTTTTTTTGTTTTTGTTTGTTTGTTTTTTTTTGCTTTATTTATTTGCAGTGAGAACCCAACCATCAAAGAGGCAAGCGTATTCCAGTGGTAATAATTAAATACCGGAAGGAGCATCTGTTTTTTTTATTATTCTTTCTGCGATCATAGAATAAATTCTTTCATTCATTCAGACACAACATGGATATCAAAACATCATAAAATTTCTTTGGGAATGCAATTGTCTCGTCGTTTTTATTATCACAATAATTATTATTCGGGTTTACACATACAAATCCAGAACTATGCATAGAACAGAATAAATTACTGCACTTTTCTGTATATAATTACTGTACTTAGACAGCAGTAAATGCGATCAATAAATGCGTTTCCTTTACGAGCCAGTAGGGAGCGCCTAAGACCGTCAAATGAAGAGCCCCTCAAAAAATGGCAGCCAGGACATCATCCTCGCTCTTTTTCTCCAATTACCTCTTTCCATTGCACCTGTAGTTGTTATCATTTGTCACGTCTGCCCTGCAACGTAATGCTTGTACATCACACATGCATATAAAAAATAATTTGCTTTGGGGCATTAATCTATCATCTAATCATTAATCACACAAAGATTGAGCCACAAAAGATTCTTGAGTGAAACAAGCCATTCAATTCAGTAGAACGAGGTTTTATTTTAACAGTATGTACAGTATGTATAGTATGTCTGTCATCTGTCACATTGTTAATAGTCATTGTTAGGACAGGTTTATGTGACCACATATGTTTATACGGGTTTATAAATAACCCCAGCACATACGGTCTAACAATGTCACCGGTGGTTAACACATGAGTGCTGAGACTGATGAGGTTTTAATATTGGCTGTGCAAATGCATTAAGCGTTCGAAAAAAAAGTGACACAAGTATAAAAGTATGTCAACCACGTACTGTGACCACCCCTATCTTATGTAACATACAAAGGAAGTGTTGCTGAAGCCATGCCAAGTTCACACAACACACTATAAAATGTTTAATTGTCACACAAGTTATAGTTAATAATAATTTTAAAAAAAAACATCTATTCCTTCCTAAATGTGGTCACGAGGGAGCTGGAGTCTATCCAAACTGACCTTGGTCAAGGTCGGGTTCATCCCGACAATTTCTAGTCTTCAATGAATCGAGCATGCATGTTTTGGGAGGAAGCCACAGTAACTCGAGAAAATCCACACAATTTGAGAACATGCAAATTCCAAGCAGGGAAGGCCTGAGTCAAGATTTAAATCCAGGACCTCCAGAGTGTGAGGCACACATCCAAACCACTAATTCACTGTGCTGCCCATTCAAAATATACGATACAGCATGGCCACAACAATGATGATCATTTGAAACTAGCTCGAGATGCATGATTTCATACAGTTTCATGTGGTGCGTTTGCAGGAAGTGAGGGGGGGGGGGGATGCGTGTACTTTGATCTACAGAAAGAAGTCATAAACAATTATATCAAGTGTTATTGCATGCCACTTGCAGAACACGTGATCCGGCATGGCCCATCCATCAATCTGTTTGGCACGAGCTCATTGAGCAATTTCTTGACAGCGAGATGACAGTGTGGCAGTGCACCATCTTGCTAGAAAAGGTAATCACCAGCATCAGCAGCTAAGTGTCGTGGAAGCATCCTATTGATTAGCATTTCCCAATATCATTGACCAGAAACCGTTTAGCCCTCACAGAAAATGAAGCCCTTAAGTTATTAAGGGCCAAACAACTGAAAATACAATATTGTAAAATAAAACATTGTTACTGGGGATCCACGGACTATATACTCACTGTCTCTGACCTGCCTCCTCACAGTGACCATGAAGTTAAAATAAAACCTAAAATATGCAATGCTTTTATTTTGAAAGTTTTGCTTCTGTTGTCTGTACCCGTGTGGATGTTGGTATACAAGACTTGTGTCTGCAGTGTTGCTAACTTAGCAAGTCTTTTTCTATATTGAGTGCCCTTTCCAACCTCTCTCGCAAATCTTTTTACCCAAAAGGGTTGGGCAAAAATAGCAACAGTTATCCTCATGTTGGCAACATTCTTATTTGTTGCACCTCGGAGGGAATAGTGCCAAAAAGGTTTGCCCTGCTAATACTGTATGCAAATCTACAGTTTTATTGACGTGTGAATTGGATGTATTATGTCATCATGGTATCACCTATATATCAGTGTCAATACTATAATACTTCTCGCTTATCTGTATATTTGGGAGTCCTGATTAGGAACGGATAATATGAGTTGTAGTTGGTGCACAGAGTCTATGTTCGAGTATAAAGATGTTCAGTGGAAAGATGTCATTTTAATGACCGCTTATAATTTTGTTTTAAATTTGTATTTCCTAATCGTAACAATATATGCCATATCGACACACATAGCATTTTAATGAAACAGTATACAATGCGCTTTTCCTAAACACATAATTAAATAAAATAGAACAAAGATGGGATGAGCATATTGGCTTGGCCCTCAGCATACATTCCACTTTCTCATGTGGCTATTTTGCAAAAAGAAGTGCCCACCCCTGATATATACTATGTTTGAAATTGGTTGACATATAAAGTCATGAAATCAGGAAGTGTATACAGTATAAATGTGTAATCTTAAGGGTTTGAAACCAGTCCAGGGTGTACCCTGCTTCTCACCAGAAGTCAGCGGGCTGGGGATAGGCTCAACCATGCATGTGTAAACTAAAAAAAAAAAAAAAAAGTGTGCACTCAGTCATGTTGTACGGTCATCACGCCTTTCATCTTTGTAAGTCTTCTTTGGTGTTATCAAAAAAAAAAAGAGCTTTCAGTGTAAAGTTTATTACGATAAAATGATCAGTCAATAAATGATCATAAGTGGTTATCATAGGCTTTCTTTGAATGACCACCAAATGACCTTGAGGAATTTATGTGATGAAAAACAACGCAATAAAATGACCAATTCATCAGTTGTGGATATTTTAGCATGCATAAAGAAAAGGCTTTGCGAAGGCAGGCATTCACAATCCACAATCACCGAACACTGACATTCATTGTGTATCACTTCAGTGACATTATGTTAGGCATTCACAATCACCGAACATTGACATTCATTGTGTATCACTTCAGTGACATTATGTCTCAGCATGAAGCATCCAGGGACTTGCAGCGGCACAATCAATATCTATTAGGACTCCCTTCAGAAGAACTAGATTTCACTATTAGATCACCCTGCTCCCCTGACACCGTGTCAAACATTATAAATTGACTTGCTGATGTTGGTGCCTAATGAAAGAGATCATGTTGAAGTCAAATTTACTGAGAGGCAAGAGGGTCTTATTCTCTCCGGCTCCAGTAGGTGTCAGACTAAGACTATTGACAAAAACGGGCAGCGCGTCTTAAATGTACGAAAGCGTCATGACACGTTGTGAGAGAAAATCTTTTATTGCATGATCTCAAACATACATTATGATCATCTCAGCAACTGTTGAAGTAAGTGCTTCCTTTTCAACGTAAACATCCTTCGTTTTTTTTTTTGTTTGTTTTTTTATAAGATGACTATTTGGTATATAAAGGACGACAAAAGCAGAGATGTTGCCCATTTAAAGTGCTTTACGACACATACGGTGGTACAAATAATCTGGAAAAGAAAAGAAGATGAATATACAACTGAAGTTATTTAAACAAGCAACAAAAAGCTAAAGTATGCCAGTTTTTAATTTTTTTCTCAATTATACATGCAATTGCACATTGTCACATGGTTTATAGTGTATTTAGTGCTTCTCCCCTTCCCCCCGCCTCCATTTTCAGACGATTTAAATAAGAGCAGGTGGATTCTTGATATGAGCGTTCCTATCCGATCATTGGAGTTTCAACAAAAAATAGTGGTGAAATAAATGCTGCTTTCTCTGAGTGTCAGTGTGTTCACTCATGTGCTAGAATCACCAGTGTATCTCTAGTGTTGGTGCGTGTGTGTGCGTAACTGAGTGACTGTGCGTACGGGTAAAGTGGTGGTGCTGGAATTTAGGGTGGCAGCAGAGGGGGTTTGAAGGTGCAGGCTCCAGTACACTGGCGTGGGGTCAACATCTTGCAGGAGAAATGATGAAGGGCGTCGTGAGCTTCTAGGAAGGAACGGGTCCATCAGTGAGAAACATGTCCTCTCTCATTCAAATTACTCGCTCGATTTTCACTCAAAATATTGACATTGACCCCGCCCCCCTTTTGAAAGCTGTGTGCCGTCTAGTGATAAAAAAAAGTAGCACATCAAATTAAACAAACAGCAACTTAAATGGCCTTTTATCTTGTGTCGTGTTGCAAGAGTCTTTCCCTATTGGTCCAACTCGTCGCACAAAAGCGTCCATTAAGAATAAAACGAATGAAAAACTAAATAAGGGATCGAGTACAAACATGCTGTTTGCCCTCATGATATTTACAGTGACCCGCCTGTGTGTACTTAAACAAGTGTAACACGAATCCAATCCTTTATCGGGTGGCTTTAGTTGCTGTCTCGTGCGTGTAACCGATACAGCAGCACATAATGGGCTGTCTATTCAATTTTCCAGGGTATGATTTTGGAAAGAATGACCTCGGCAAACAAAACAATGTGGTTTTGGTTTCACTTTTTGTTTTGGATCTGTCTATTCATCGAATCAAACTCCAGCAGAAAGATATGCTTGCAGTTGGAAAGACAAATAAGGGGCACGTGCGCTTAGGTCCAAAAATATTGGGACACTGACAGAGGAGCCATGATTTTTGCTTTTCTACTGTGCATGCTGCACTTTCAAAGGCTCAAATGTATCCAGACAATTGGTACAATATGGAAATATAACCAGAACGTTTAATACTTGGGTGAAATTTCTTTTGAGGTATTTACTAGTGAGTAGGATTCCTAAATCAATTGCATATTTAGGTGAAAATGCTTAAATTACAGTTGACACTTTATGTGACATTGTTTCAATTAAAATACTGCATCGTGTCGTCGATAAAAGTTTTTTTAAACGGCGTCACGATGTCCAAATACTTCGGGATGCAAGTGTCCATTTTACCCATTTATTTGTGTTATAGTGGTTTGAAAATATGGCTCCAAGTCGTTTCCATTAAATTAAAGAGCACTCATCTATACTGCTCCAAAAGTTGTGTCGTATGACGCGTAAAGCGGGGCGACACCAACCTCGAACAATCTGCAGCTGCTGGACCATTTCCTCTCTGTAGGACAGCTCACGCTTCATTTGATCCTGAAAATTATCTGAGGAACACCAGATATCGTGGAACTTTAAGTCTAATTCCTGTTTTAAGTGCCTCAAAGACACAAGACGATGATTGAACATCTAATTGAGTGTGGAAATGTCGAACTATATCAAGGTGTTCCTCTGCTCTCAGCGTTTTTACCTTTCAAATGTTGAAATTCTCTCTCCAGCTTTTTCCTCAACTCCATCTGCTCCACTAGCTGCTTCTGCAACTCCTCTGTCAAGCCAAACAATACACCAATCTCAGCTAAAAATACACTCCGCGCTTTTGACACTTCTTTGGAAACACTCGCACAACCGACCGCGGGACGCATAATAACGCCTGATTTTCATTGACGCGGAATTAATTTCACAGCATATTTGATGCGCTGCATCCGTGTCAAATTTTCGGACTGTCCCGTGTAGCAAAATAAAGTAAGATAATTAACGCAGTGCCTCGCCTAAACAACCAACCACAACAAACACAGTATTGTTGCTTATATTTCTGAATAGGCCGATCGAAATTATAAGGCAGACTGCGCACGTGTACCTCTCGAATACGTGCATAATGAGGTAATCTCTTCAATTTTCCCATCACTGATTTACAATATGTACTGGAGATATGCACATAAATAGATGGCAAAGCAAACCGCGACGTAGGATGAATTTACAACAAGCGTCGCCTGCCGGTCTCTTGAATGCGCGCGCGCGGTGCGCGCGCGCGCGTGCGTGTGCGTGTGTGTGTGCGTGTGTGTGTGTGCGTGTGTGTGTGTACGTGTGTGTGTGCGCCACAATTATTGTCGCACAGCGGCCGCAGGCTACACGAGGCCATGATATTTGGGTCTTGGGGTTTTTCCAAGCGTTCAAAAATAATTAGCTGCCACGCCTCGGGGTTATGGCTCTGTTCGTTAAAATATTAATAGCCTCTAAACGATTTCCTCTTACAATAATAAGTCCAAACGACCATGTCTTGTGATTTAGTGCGCAACACCTATGGGAACGGTTTAGCCTCAGAAGATGCAAATTCGCATAATGTGCCACATGATATTTAGCAGGGCAGATGCGTGCATTTTAAGTGTGGGCAGGGATTCATAAATCAGGAGTCAGCAACGGAATGATCGCTTTGTGTATAAATTAATACAATGAATGCATTGAATATAGCATTTTAATATTGATATGAAATAACAATTATTCTTTCTGCACATAAATGTGACACAGCAGTAGTAAGCGGAGCCTCTGTTGTTTTTTTTTTTGTTGTTGTTGCTGCCACCATTATTCACTTCTGATTTAGGTGTTTTCAAAATCTTTTACCTTTTGCCATGTTCTCCAGATTTCTTTCATGCACGCTAATGTCAATGCGTAGAGCTCCTTCAGCTGGGGAAAAAGTGAGGAAGAGTAAAATGTAAAAAGAACAGACGATATAGAAATTATAAACCGGCTTGTACATGTAAATACATTTTGTAAACATTTCAGAGCACACGTTCTATACATGAACATTCTTACAAATGTAATAATACCTTGTCTGTCCTTTTGGTCCTGATTGGATGTTAGGTTTTGTTGATAGTGATGAACTCCTGGAAATTAACAAAAAATGTATATATTAAAACACCGAATCGGGTTTTGAAAAGAAAGCCCTAAAAGCTTCATATGTGCACACACGTCAGGTAAATGACCCAAATAATCACCGTTTGATCTGCCGGGGCTGCTCGGCGAATCGAACGTCTCGTCCACTTGCACTTGGCAGTTCTTTTGCTGCGCATGCACCTGCAAAATGATGCAAACACGCACACGCACAGTGAACGATATGATTTCAACGTTTAACACAATGAAGGCCTTGTGTCTGCAAATGTTCAAACTGAACATCACCGTGATCAAATCAACTATAATTAAACGACAGGATGAAAGTGTGTTTATCTGGATAAATTGTAAAGATTTTTCAGGCGCATTTTTGCCACAGGGATTTATTAAAAATATAGTTAAACAGTCACAAGTCGTTTTACTGTACATGCATGCAAGCAATGATATTTTGGTTTGATTTTGAACAACCGATTCGAGCGTTTGACGAGACTATCGGTGCACATCCGAATTCGCATCATGTACGAGTTGAATGCCATCTTACATGATGAATAGGCGATGCGTCCCGGGTGAGCCTGCCCTCGTCGGACGATCCGGTGTGCGCCGAGTCCTCGGGTGATGCTGTAGCGGGGCTGCGAGGTGTAATCTTCTCCTGGCTTTCTTCGAGCGCCTGCGGCGCGGGAGACTCACGGCGGCTCCCTCTCGGCGATGTCCGGATCGGCTCTTCATCCTCTCCCCCCCTGTTGGATTCCACGTCCACGTCGGGGTCGTCGTCGTCGTCGTCTTCCACGGTATCTCTGTCCGGGGACATGGACCTATAGCTGGACGTCTCGCTGACAAAGTCCGGGGAGAGGTAGCCGGGCCTCACACCGAAGCCCTCTCGGGTCCCGTACAACTTGGCGATGCTCTCCGCGTCTTTGACGACGGGTCTGAAGGCGGAGATGTAGCTGATTTTCCGGTGTGAGGTGGTCTCGTCCTCGGACCTGTCGTCGTTGTTCCTGCAGTTGCTGGATGAACTGGGAGATCGCTCTCCCGCAAGCTGCTGCTGGTGCTGATTGCCGTCTTTGGGGGTGGTCGCACTCCTTTCGCTTTGGTCTGATAAGTCGAGGTCGGCCTGGCGGACCCCGCGCAGCTCTGGAGGTTTGGCCGGGTAGGGCGGCACGTGGAGGCTGCTCGCCGTGGGCCAAAATACGGGGAAAGCGGGGTAAAGGGCGTCCTTGGTAGCGGGCCAAAACACACCGGGGACGTTGCTCTTAGTCACATCTGGCACGCCTTCACTTTTTTTCGGGCACAAGCCGTAGCTGGCAAAACTATACGGGTGGGGTGGGAAGAGGGGTGGGGGGATTTTTTGGAGCATGCCAAAGTTTTTACTGGGAACCGGGATGAGTGGGTAGCTCCTCGCGCTGCTCGTCAAAGTGATGTTATTATTCCCCTGCTCCTCGTCGCACCGTAAACTTTTGCGCGGGACTTCCGGGGACGCGGTGCGGCCGAGCGCGGAGGAAGTTTGCGCTTTCATGGGCGACTGCTCCCTCGAGCTCCCCATTGGAAGCGTCCTCTTTCTGCTGCCCCCGTTGAACATGGCTTTGACATCCTCCCACGCGTGGTTGATGTCGTCCGAGGGCTTCTTCTCCGTCAGCTTCAGGTGGCGCCTCCACGAGTTGAAATTGGCCGCGTCCGGTTGCAGGTACTTGGACTCTGGGGTGCGATGCGAGTGGAAAATGAATTTATTCGGAGAGAAATACATGTTGCAAAAGGTGCATTTGATGCACTTGGCCCGGGAGCTGTTGTATCGGGCCGGGATGAAGCTGCCTCGACAGCCCCACGCACACTCGTGGGACACGTCGAAGGCGAAATTCTCGGGCAGCTTTGGGGGGCTGTGCGCCCCCAGAAAGGACTTGCAGAGCCGCTCGGCCTCCCGCTTGGTGATCATGCCGCAGCGTCTGGACGAGATGGGCATGGCGCCGGCGCGTCGCAGGAGTTCCAGCTGCACGGGGGTGCACTGCACACAGGTGATGCCCAATGCCACTCTGCGGTTGTGGATTTCATTGTAGCTGTAGTTCTTCAGCAGGGTGTTGGAGATCTGGGCCAGGCATAGTCTTTCCCTCCCGTCGATGACGAGGGAGACGATGGGCACCCCGTACAAGGAGGTCTCGCTCACTTGATTCGGTTTGAGTGGGCCGGAGAGGCCCGGCGCATCCCGTTTGGGACTCGGGGTGGAGCTGGTTTCTCTTGCAGGCTCTCGAAGCGGTCTGGTTATTGGCTCCATAACTGGAAGCCTGTCATTCACGTGTAAAACTTGAGTGACGCTGCACACAAAACAACATACATCATAAATAAAACGCGAGAACGAAAAACATAATCGCCCCGGGGTGTCAGTGAAATAAGAATTCGAATTATGCCAACGGAAGCCTTTACTTAAATTGCTGTAAAGAGAACTTATACATTTGGCTTCACTCCCCCACGCAACGTCCTTCGTGTGCTGAGGACTGGATACGCTGCTCATCTTATCTTCAAATCGGCTTAGCACTTAGGAGCCTACTACTTAAAGAGCCACATAAGACCTTTAGAGGCAGATAAGGACAGCAGGAAAATGCCGCCTGAGCTGCACCAATGCGCTTAGCAATGAGGAAAAGAACAAGTGTAAGCTCCTTTGTTGGTAATTACACAGATCCAACCGTGCGTCTTCGCATTGTTAATAAAAGACCAACCCAATATATAATTAAAGCATCAGCACGGATTAGCCTTAAACTGGCAGGAAGGAAGCGGGTCCACCTCGCCTTCACCCACGCATATTTACTCTTTTGCGCGCTTTTGCGCGGGCCTACAGGGCTCTTGGAAATAAACGCATAGCATTCAAAGTGTGATAAAAATAAGAAATCATACTCCAAAATAGGGATTAGGCATGCAACAAGCAACAAATAATAATTACATGAATAAATAATATAATCCTTACCTCTTGTTCAAAAGATGACACCCCCCAAAACGGCGGTAAAAAATATCTCAATAAATAAAAATGCACAGCAAAAGAGCAGCTAGGTCTAAGACAGTATAAAAGATGCTGCATGCGTTATTTGACTTTATACGCACACATGCTGCAGCAGGCAAGGCGCCTCCATCCTGTTGGCCAGCAGGGAGGTGAATGGCGAGTAGACAGCGAACACATGGCACCCTTCTCTATCTCCCTCTCTCTTTCGCTCACTCTCCTGCCCTCTCTCTCGCTCTCAAAATAAGCCTGCCCTTCTCGCTTGCAGTCGCGATGAGCAACAAAAGCCCGATTGGGATAATTGTGCGGCAATGACGCACCACACGATCAAGCGTGTCACGTACATTTTTAGGCCACAGCTGCCCGAACACTTTTATTGGGGCCCGTTAGAAGAAGAATGGGTGAAATTTAGGGTTGCTGAGGCATCCGTCACAATATTAAGCATATTGCACCATCTAGTAAGCAAAAGAATGGAGCGAGAATGCTGAAAAAAAATCAAATCCATCAATGTTTATTGTATTTATCCTCACTGAATTTGGTGCATCCTTTCCCATCTGATATTGTTGGTAAAATAAAAAGTGGAACTTTTCAAATGAACCTGGAATGAGTCAGAGCGGTCTCTTGAAGTTTCTATAAAAATAATTGAGAATCGCCGCATAATCATGTAGTAGTCTGGTCCCTTACTGAAATTTGCAGTAAACATTAAAAACGTTATTCACAAGTTGATGCACGTGACAGTTAAATGTGAGTCATGAACCGATAGCTCACTAATTCACGGCATGTTAAACTTGAAGCTAAATGCATTGCCAAACACATTTGGTTACGGGAAGGGCACCATACTCTGCCTCATATTATATTTGTCAAATACGCACTATTGCAAACTCATAATGTTAAGCGAAATAGCTTGTGTGTTTTGATGGAGACAATTTAGAGAAGTAAATCACTGATTTGTGTTATAAAACTGCGCTTTAAACCAAAGCAGCTATTGTAGTGCGTTCTGGGACAGTGTCAATACTTGAAAGCCCCCCCCCCCCCACCCGCCATTAGAAAATGCCCCATCTAGATCCCGTAAGGGTGCCCTCAGACCCCACATTGACAGCCACAAGAGCTACAGTGTCACTTTAGATTGGTCTACAGCTAGTTTTTCTACAAAAAAAAACAAAAAACAGACTGAGCTTGATGCGCACCGAGGGGTGCACCCGGAAAGACAATTGGCCCAGATCGTTTATCAAGTTACACCACCATCTGCTTGGCTTCCACGGCCACGCAAATCAAAATGAGACCTCACCAGTGAAGGGAAATGTGGCAGAGGGAGGGAGGGGCTAAGAGATGACGTTTCAAAAATGTTTTCATATGTATAAATATTAGCCCGGGGGTGTTGGGGGAGGGGGGGTGATTTGAGACAGTGTAAACATTGTGGACACCTGCAGCAGGTGCACCGAGTCAAGAGATCGTATACATAATGATGGCAAAGAAAGGCTTGAAGCAGATACGGTTGCATTTAATCCGCAAAATTGACTGTATGAACAATAATCCCGCTATATTGCTCATGCTCACATGATCACGAGTCAGTTTGAAACCATTCAGCTATCGGTCGGTAGTTAAATAACAATATTATTATTATTATGATCATTATTATTATTATAAGGCCCACATTGAATTGTTTTGCAGTCAGTGAATCTTTTTTTCTTCATAAATCATGTTTAAAATCATACCTGATTTTAACAGGTCAATTGAAGGATGAAAATGCACATTCCAAAATGTATCCTTTTTGGGTGATTGGGGTGGGGGAGTACACTTATTTTTGCTCAACTCAGCAGCTGCATGCAGGCTTCAACACAAAAAAAGGGGCTTGCCTGCAGGCCATGCAGCCTTGAGGCGGTCGTGGTCTGAAGCATGGGGGAGGATACGGTAGGAATTGACATTAGTGAGTACAGAGGGCATTAAGTAAAAAAAAACATCCCGTTTGTCATCAGGACAGTTGGCTTTTCATAAACATATTCACTTTTTTTTTTTAAAGAAAAAGAAATTAACACAAAGTAAAATATAAAGGTTGCGTGACAGTCACTTATTCACTTAGACGTGTCACAGGAAAAAAAATAAAATCAAACAAAACTTCAATTTATGAGTCAGTGGACATAACTCACCAGCCACAACATTAGGTACTCCTATACGCAATTCACTGACATGCAAAATACACGATGCAAGTTTTGACTGACAACGTCGGAGACGCAGCTTTAACAGTGTGTGTATTTTTGCATTCACAAAGGAGGACCCGTTGCTAAAAAATGCCACCTCTCTGACAGTGTCAATTCAGAGTGTGCATTATTATCTTTGTAAAATCGGATATGTGGATTTCATTAGATGGTGCGAGTGAGTATATCGCTCTCTGAATATGCAAAAACCAGTGGACAGTTTTAAACTGGAAATCATGACGTCATTGGTGCTTTGATGGCGACTGGCAGCACATTTTGGACATATCTGCTGACATGTTTGGGTGACTGTACACGAGGAAGACTGATGAATTTTACACAATTGACGCAAGCTAGCGAAGCTGCGTCCTCATCCCCTCTTAGAATATTGATGTCTAAAACATGATCCTTGATCTCGTCTTTCACCATCAAGAGGTTTCCCTGCCGCCCCCAGCAATAATTACAATTTTACACTGTAATTATTCCTCTCCTCTTAATTATTTACACGGCCCGGCTCAGTGCAGCCGTTGTGGCTGCTTATTCCGCTGGAAACATGAGCTGACTCGGCCGCCGCGCCGCGTGCAACCGGGAGTTTTTAATGAGACATTTAAGCAGTCGTTTTTGGCGAGACAATTATTATTTCTGTTTGATACAAATGAGCGGGGCCTCGCGGACAGACGTCCGATTGTCCAAACAAACCGGTAGCGTGAAATTTTCATACGTGCATGCGTGGTTGAACGACGCAAAGCGGGCCGATCCATGTTGGTTGAGGGATTACTTTACGCATGGCGGATGACATCAACGCATTTTACTCACCTGTTGCATTTGTGTGCTCCCTAACATTTTCTTTTAGATGAAATGAAGGACTATCCCATTATTAGATATTTTTTAATATTCATCATTAAGTGGGTACACGAATCTTAAACTACTTTGAATATTTGCCTTGATCACGGATGAGTGCGTTTGATTACTTTTGTCATTTGAAGGGTGTATGACTTTCAATTCTAAACTTTTCAAAAAAGCAGCAGTGTAGGTCATTTGCATCTCTTTGCGATCAACGAGCCCCGATTTCTCCAAATGCAACGTGTAGACTTCCGTTATTCTGAGAGCCGAAATCAGATTGCATGCGTTTATTAGTCAGTGCGCGGGACAAGTGGTGCCCATCTTGGTGTGATTTTTTTTTTTTTTAGCTTTAACTGATGACGTAGACTCAATACTCGTAGAGTTGACTTCTCTAAGTAAGCATAGTAGAGTAAACAGACAAGTCAGACGGGGCAGCTTTAATAAGAGTAGCAACTGAGGCCAAATGTTTTATAATTAACAGTTGTATCAGCACCCTATAAAAGCGTGATCCTATAAATCCCATTTTAGAGAGCAATCAATTCTCCTCTTGGACTAAAGGGCCTATTGATCCCTCTGTGCTCAGCCTTTTTTTTTGTTTCCAGTGAATAGAGCATTTCGATTGCAGTTTTTTTTTTCTTATCGGAGCAAAGATTCCGCCGAGAGCAAAGCGATGGCTCGAAAATTAAACGGTGACACTTTAATTACAGGGCATTGATAAAGGGATGTGGCTAATGGCAGGACGCGGGACACCCACTCATTGTCCCGCTTGACGTACTAATCAAGTCGGACTGACGCGCGGGAAGGAGGGAGGGGTGGAAAAGGTCACCACCCCATTCAAAGGAGATCGCTGGGAATTCGGGAATATGAAGCCAAATGAAGACGCATCTTCAAACAATGCGCGCTCAATATCACCAGATGAGATCATGCGGCGCATCCACATTCTCAATGCGAAACGTTTAGCACTATAGGTCACTTCAAGCAGACCCATAGATCATCTGTTGAGGGAAATTACGCGTGGCAGATGGAGTTGTCACATACGCGCGCGCATGCACACGTTTGCAGTCGATTTAAATCACACCACGTGATTGACACTTCCGCCCCAAGACCACTTGTAAGAGGGAAGCGCACCGTGCACCATTTGAACTGAACATTTGACAGTACTTGACATTGCGGATTATCAAGCACAGTGTTGATATCATCTTGCATTTGCAAGTCAGACTACATTAGTCAGACAAATACATAGCTTTTATGTTTAAGAAAAGAGGTGACACATATATGGCTGGTGGGCCAGTAATGGTCCACAAAAGCATGTGATCCGGCCCACCATGCAATTAAAAAAGAAATCAAAGCTCAGGAACAGTTATGAACTTTTAACATTGCGAGGTTGATTGTTGCATCACCATTGTTTTCTAAATTTAGTGAAACCCTTTCATTAGAATAATGATATAATATAAACAAAAAAAGGCCTGTGAAAGAAAAAAGGTTGCCGACCCCTGGTAAAGTGTCATGTACAAGTGAGAGCTCCCTTCATCCAAGAGG